TTATATAATTTGATCTACCGGTCATGGGTGGTTACCGATGTGTAGCCGCCGTGCAGTACATGTTATTGGGCGTCCGAGCGAGTCGTGGCCGGAGCATCCGTAAGACTCATTGCTGGGTTTAGCGTGAGCCATGCGTGCCTTATCGCGGGACGCCCAAGCAACCGCATCAACAAACTCGAAATGGCATTTTAGCCGCTAAGCGGGCTCATCAGCGACAGGCCGGACTTATCTGTTAAAAATATCCATCATGTGTTGTAAGCATCAGATGCTATTCTTTTTTCTTTATTGACATATAAAACATGACTTCATATTTTAGGAAATAGCTATCGTCAATTTAAGCTGCTATTTTAAAATTTTTGTGGATTGTCCTTTTGTCTCTGTGCCGAGTTTACTCTTATAGGGTGATCAAGTAAGCATTCAGTTTTTTGAATTTTTTTCCTCTGTCCTGACAGCGTGACCGTTGATCTAGAAGTACATTTCCATACCAGTCCTTCCTAAACCAGTGTACGCGGTCTCTCACACATGCTCATCAGATTTTGTTTCAGGGATCCCCTCTTAATGCCTTCAATTAGGAAATTTTGCCTGCATGTATTTTCGCTTTCGTCTATCACTTCCCTTCTTCTTCTTCTTCTTCTTCTTCTTCTTCTTCTTCTTCTTCTTTCTTCTTACCTCTTCTTCTATTTCTTCCTAATCGTCTTCTTATTCTACTTCTTCTTCTTCTTTCTTTTTCTTCTTCTTCTTCTTCTTCTTCTTCTTCTCATTTCTGGCTTATAAGTCATCTTCATGTTTCCATTCTGCAGTTCGTTAATTCCCCCCTTAGAATTCTGTTTGAAAACGACGGAAGTACGAATAGAAGGGCGTCAAAAGTGCGATAGGCCTTAGTATTTTTATCTTTGCTAATCCCTTTTCTCATCCCCTTCCCCCTCTCCTCCTTCTCAAGACTGCCACCAGGACTTCTGTGCCAGTTTGACGACTATTCTACGGCGAATTGTCGGTCAACCCCTCTGGCAGCGCAATACCCTTCTCCTGCTTACTCGCTTCTTTACAGCCGTCTTTCGGTGTCGGCCCGCAATCTCTATGGAATCAGTCCATGCCTGGCTACTCTCATGTGGCTTCCAATTCACCAGCGTGATGAGCACGGTGCCCTTTTCCACGCTCAACCTGCAGCACACTTTCTCTCTCGCCTGTCTCCTCATTAACTGTGCTCGAGACATTATTATGGCGCAGGCTGTAAGCAGATTTAATCGTCGATTCATAGAAATCACTTCTAGGGATTTTATTTTTGCCTACGGCTCACTTGACCTTTCTGTGTAGTCTAGTTTTGGACAAAGCTCTCGTTGAGAAGATGACTCAGTCCCCAAATGAACCATTGCCAAGCTTGTAAAATCACATCAACTTCCGTATTTGATTGTAAGGAGTGAGGACCATTTGAGGCTCTAGAAGGGAGCTCCGGGCAAAAAAACAATAAAGCCAATTCCACATGAAAGAGAGTCTTTTGTTGTATGTTCTAATGAGAACTGGCTTTAATCGATAGATTTCTAACACACCAATTAAGGTTCTCTTGGGCGAAATGCAATTTTTCGAATTCCTCTCTGTGTGTGTTTTAGAAATAACGCCGAGAGCCTTTATAAAAGTTCTGCAAAAGGTTTTGCTACATTTACTAGAAGTGCCTAGATAGATTGGTTTGCTGTCTTGCTGTGATTGTGCAATTTATTTGTTTGGGTCTCAGATTTTACTTCGGGCCAAACCATAGACACTCATTTTCGAGTTTACTGCCTCTCTAGCCCTGGCTTCTTATCAGGAGCGTCTTTATTTTACAAAATCCTGCACCCCATGTTATCGTGCTTCTGAGGACTGACTATCTATAGTCTTCTACTAATAGCGAAGCATAATGTTTGTCTTAGACCGGTCCAGCACAGGATCCAGACAACCGTTATTTGGACTTAACACAGAGATATCGTTCATCTTCACAAGAAGGCACTGCTCGAACACATCAACGTTCTACTCACACTTACAAATGAAGTTACTTTGCAATATCTAACAATTATCTACGATCATCAGGATAACTGTGCGTAAACCCCGCGTTACAAAAACGTGTACATATGAATATGCTACTCCCTATTTTTTTAATATTCATTTTATGTATTTTATGGTTGCACATTTTGTATAAGGTTTTTAATAGGGTCTTCAGATGCATTGCGTATTACCTTTAATATACTAAACTGTTTTAAATTGACAGTAGCCAACATTGAACAGTATGTCAAGGAGCATTTCACGTATTCTGCTTTATAGGCTGGCGAGTTGTATGCCCTCATCGCCGGAAAGCTTAATTCGACTGATGCCGCCCACAAAGATCACCTGGATGCCTGGATTTCTGCCCTCGTATTTGTTTCTTCACAACCCTCTGTTGACGGGAGCCTCGCCTTCTTCCGGGTGGGTTGCTACGTTAGTATTTTAAAAGTCCACCTTCTTCCTTCCTTCGCCTGAATCTGCGAAATTTCCTCTTGTATTGCCTGAAAAAGGACTGTAGCCATCTCCCTGATTCGTCGCTAAGCTCTTATTGATGAATGCTAAGAAGAAATAAGGGCGATTCTTATTGAGACTGGAGCTATTTCGACTAAATGTTAATCAAGAGACTAACAACTGTACTGCAGGCTTTGTTTCAATGAAATACGCCTGCCTGTCTCCTTAGTTTTTTTTAAGCCTTCGGCCGACCTACGGAAGTGTCTTTTAGGTAACTCTCAAACATACGCGCATGTCACGAAAAAATAAATAAAATAAATGCCAATCGGAGACTTGAACTATATCCTAACTGCGCCATGCTGTCTTCGGCAGCCAGTTTGGGTCTGTCTTCATTAGTTAAATGTTTAACCCGAATCATACTGTTTCCGTGTCCCCCTTCCCGCCCTATTAGCTGCCTGCTTTCACTTAGACAGTTGTTTTTTGGATCTGAGTCAACTTTATTCTCTTCCATAAAGCCATTCCTGGACAAAATCTTTAATCTGGCGCCAAACGTTGCTACTTTGATATTGGAAAAGGACTCTGAGGGTGAGCACTCATCTAACTTATGATTATATTATTCGTATTTTGATCTTATTTTGACGAGAGATAGGCCCGCTTTAGAAGTCTCGAACCCAGATAGTAATTGCTTCGAACTTTACAGTTATATATGTGGACTAGACAAGGCTTTAACCTCACAAGACCTGCCTACTTCGTTTTACCGACGTATTTTGTAGAATTCACCGCTTACGGTTTGGGTGTTCTGCTCCACTGTTATCGTTTCCGCTTATCAAAGAAGGGACCTCGCCATTCTTCGGACCAATTTCTCATTCGTCATCGCGAACGCTTATGCAGAGCTTGCCAGAGTCAGGATCCCCTTGTAAGCCTCCACATGTTTATCAAGACAGCATTTATATGATTAAAAGCCTTAAATGGAGAAGTTGGTCGATAATGCAGAGATTGAATTGTGACAATCTCATTGATAATGATCCACTAACACTACGAGCACGGACAGTCTCCAGACTCCTATTGAAACTTCAACCAGCTCAGTCGACGTGTTATTTATAGTGCAAGTTGGGATATGCGGCCCTTTTTTATTGGCTCCCTTCCGGGGCCGTTCAAGGTAAAATATATACTGAAATGATCCACACACACGTCGGATTTTCTCAGATGAATTGCTATCGTCCCAGCTAACCGTAAGAGGACAACCTGCCTTACATGAAGAAGACTCCGAACTCTTTTTTTGCTGTTTTAAAATGAGTATTACAGGAAAGATATTATATCAAGCATAATTATGTTCGCCGACTTATAGTCTAAAGTTTGCGTGCTAATACTGTTAGCAAAATGGACTCATAACCAGTGGGTCTTTTTCAGCCCCTCGACCCACAGTGAAACATGTGAATTTGATAGGCTTTTTATATGAGACGCACCAATGATTGCCTCATTTGCATTTAGCCGGAGTGGCTCGTTTCAGTTCTTGGTTCGGCATCTCACAGTTTATAGTTTTCTGACACATCTTTCATCCGAATTTTACCGTTAAACAATTATTCTGCCCTAGTGCTGTTAGCGTTCTGTATTTAATTTGCCAGTAAACCTTGATTAAAAGTCCTCTTTACATGAATCGTCTTTTTCTACATACCTTGCATTCTGGGACAGTGTAGTCATCGCATGCTATGGGAGTGGTTTCTTACATAAAAGCATCATTCTGTAAATTTTAGCTTCGCCTAGAAGCTCTCGGAGTAGTCGAAATGAAACTGTGCAGTTCAACGCTGAAGGATTTGGACATTCTGGATTTATTCGTTGATTTGGTCGAGCTCAACGTTTCTACCACTCCTCTCAATCTTCGTAACCGACTTGCCCACTCCGTTCAGCGTGTACGTTTCCGTACATTTACGCATTAACATTTTATTTCGGTGGCTATTCCTCGTTGTTATTAGCTCTTTCACTTTGCTAGGTATCAGCCGGTATCGTCGAGACCGTTGCTCGTGCCTCGAAAGACCGTCCCGAAAAGTGCACTCAGATGGGGGAACTTCGGGAAAAATGCGAGGTTTGTTTTCCACATTACAAGCCTTATCGTATCTCCCAGCTTTTCTGTGAATAACTGAGATAATAACAACATCGAACCCCCCTCCTAATTCTTTAATTTTAGGTCGTTTTTATACGTCTGTTTGACGTCTTCCTTCGGTCGCTGCATGCGGATTCAGTACCGGATGTCTTGGCCAACAGCCTAGCGTGTCTGCGTTCTCTAGTGGACACTCTTTCATCTTGTCCAGGTAGGTAAACAGTTCAGTCGGTGGGAAAAGTTACTACTCCTGCGTTAACATTAATACAGTATAGCGAGGCAGCCATGCAAGTGCGGAAGTTTGTGAAATATTGATCATTGATCGCCTACCGACATGAACACCTGTATGAAAACTTAGAGACAATAATGAATAACTTTAGGCAAATTCGTTACTTAAAAGGAATGTAAAAGGTACTGCTTGTTTGTTAAGACAAATAAGATATCCTTTGTAAAACTTAAATTCCTCATACGTAAAGTAGTTTGATATTAGAATAATAAATTTGCATCTTTTCGTAATTTGAATGTATGTATAATCTTATCACTTCCTTCATATCAGAAGAGCTTTTTCCTTAGTCAAAATATATTTAAAATTTTGCCGCTATTTAATTACAATTAATCGCAGATTGACCTTTAAATTCCGATAAAATTTCGACAATTTTCTATGTTTTCAAGCTTCCTTTCTTAAATCAAGATTCTATTCGATGTTCACATCAAAAGCTTTCAAACAATATATTTATAAAAGTATTTATCGAAAAAATAAGATTTTTGGGTAAGATTGTGTCGTGGGGTCGTCTGGGGAAAGTGTGAAGCGCGCCCCGCAGGCATACGAACAAGTGATTTTTAAGGGAGAGTACGGGCGGGGCATGCCAGGGAAGAAATTAGAACCCTAACTTGAATGCCCAATAAAAAGTTACGATGACAAGTTGGGTCGCGTACTCAAACCTTGGAAGAAGACACTGAAGGTAGCTTTAATATCATCGCTAACCC